CTATTAAAAGACAGTTATTTATACATTAGCAATAATCAGCTTTTTATTGATCGTGTTGTTTGTTTGGTTCTTACGTCTAAGATGAGGAAGTCGAGCCAGCACCAGGCGTCGGTGAAGTATTTCTTGAGTCCGAAGGCGATGATCTTGAGAAGCATCTCTATCAGGAACAGGAGGGTAAACACCTGGTCTGCTCTCAACAGGATCTCCTTTAAGACCGGACGCTGATGCAGGTAAATGTCCTCAAACATCTGTTCACACCAACAGCCTTGTTAGCACCTGACCAGGTGTGTGAGGTCACTCTACAGGTTGATTTGTACAACTGAAGTGTTGCTAACTATTTATTACAAGTTGAATTAAACAAAAAAATGAATTCAACAGCTGCTCCTGTCCCCTGCAGCAGCCTGTGATGTCACACCAGTGTGACTGTGTCTGAACTTCATACACCAGACTTCACTCAGAGGAGCAGCTCTGTGTCTCTTAGTGTTGCTGGGGAACTTGTGAGTGCAACACACTCACACTCCGACCTTGTCACAAATCGACATTTGGTCATGGACTGTCCACGTCCACATCCAACATGCAAGGTACTGTGGGTGCGTTAGCTGTTGACGTCCTGGGACACCATGTCAAGTTCTGCCTGTTGCATGCATTGTTTTTTGGGTTGGGTTTAGGCAACAAAAACAGGGTTTGGCTTAAGAATCTTACGGGACATGAACACTGCTCTCTTGGGTGAAAGTCTTGTTTGTTATATATTGTCCAGCCCTACTTTGTACATGGGGCACCCGCTCTACCAGGTGAACTAGTTGGTGCTTCACAAGTGCGTTCTAAGTAGAAATTTCTTCTTGAGAACAGTTGGTGAATGAGGCTCAGTGTTAGTATGTTTGTGTTTACCATAGCTGCACTGCTCAGCAGGAGGATGAACATGACGAAGTACTCAAAGTATTTGTGTTGAATGATGGAGCAACATGCTCTCCTGAAGTTGGACCAGACCCTTCCTCCACCCTGGGATGTGTCTATGTCCAGGCATGGACAGCAACGGTAACACTCTGAAATATACACACACACACACACACACGCACAGAGATTTATCAGGGCTGTTATTGATCACTGATCAGTTCCTGTTCTTCATCACTTATACAGAAAGACTCATACTGTCACTACAGCAGTCCTCAGGTGGGTTTCCTTTATCATCTTCATAGTCTTTGCGCTGCTGGACTTCAGGATGTTTCTAAACAGACACATTCAACAGATTTTATACATATAAAGTTTTTCACCATTATTATCATCATCATCAGTCTGTGTCATACATGCTGAGGTCTGAACCACTGGTCTGTATCACAGAGGGAACTTATTTGTATATATGAGTGTG